ACACACACACACACACACACACACACACACACACACACTCCTACTCACATCACTTTTACTGATTCTCATACGAGAATGCGTTCACCAAATCATACTGAATGCATCACATTTCACACTCTATTTGTATGTTTTATTGACTTATATACTAACAATATAAACATTGTTCGCCCCACAGAGAGACACTCACTGAAGTATTTCATCACGGCATCTTCTGGAAACCCAAACATCTCAGAGTTTATGGGTGTTGGGATGGTTGATGGCGTCGAGGCGGGTTACTGTGACCTCAGAAACAGGACATTGGAAATAAAACAGGACTGGGCGAAGAAAATAGTAGACAAAGACCCTCGGCAGTTACAGTATTACACTCATGTGTGCTTTGAGAATCTGCCACCCTTCTTCACAGATACAATGTCCACTGTGAAGCAGGATTTCAACCAAACTGGAGGTGTGATATTTTATGTTATTCCTTACACCAGTCAGTACAAATTATACAAATGCCTACACAAAAATGATTTAAGTAAATTAATTTTGTTTTGTTTTAATTTCGTAATTAAAGATCTTAAGTCTTAAAAATTTACTTCTACACTGAATCCAGGAATCATCAAACCTTGTAGATGTGAACATACTTAAAACTGTGATAAAACAATCAATTATAATCACTGTTGTTTGTCCTGCGCTTAACAATTGTATCTTAACCGTTGTTCTGATTCTTATAATTTGTCATCTAGATGTCTACTCCTGGGTTAAATTAGTTTCTGTCTCTTGTCCTTCATCTTTTATTTTTGAGGTATCAAATCAAGTTAATTTGTACATGTCACAGCATTTCAGCTATCTTCCTTTAGTCATGCTAATAAAAAGTTGACAGATCAGCTCAGATCTGAGCATAGCTCAAACCTTGAAAAATAGCAGTGATTCACGAAATGAATAATATTAACAGGTTCATTTGAGTTTGTGTTTTGTTTCTCTTTCTTCAGGTGTCCACTTTTTACAGAGGATAGATGGCTGTGAATGGGATGAAACCACTGGCAAGGTGACCGGATTGACACGTTTTGGGTATGATGGAGAGGACTTTATTGAGCTTGATCTAAAGACACTGACATGGATCGCACTGAAACCAGAGGCTGTCAATACCAAAATAAGATGGGAGAGAGCTGATCTGAGAAACGCTCAATACTTTCTCAATGTGGTTTGTCCAACTTGGCTGAAGACAGTTTGGAACACTGCAAGAAGTTCCCTGCAGAGAAAAGGTCGAATTGCATGACCCAAAGCATTTTCATGGATGCATTATTTTTATATTATATGCAGTAGTTTATGTTGAAATATATTTATAAAAAAAAAGTTATCTCTGAAAAAAATGTGTAGGTTGACTATTACATCCTCATCCTAGACTTAACAGGTTTGTAATTTTCCATTCTTTCAATCCCAAGATTCCTGAACAAAGTTTAAACAACAGTTCTCAAATCTATACTAACAACCAAAAAGCAGGAGAAAAAGGATTTCAACACAAAGAGCTTCTCATTCCCTTCAGTTTCTAGATTCTGATCATGCTGCCTACACAAACATTTAATTCAACATTTACAATATTTGCAGGCTCACTTTGCCTCCCAAAGAGATATGGAGAGGTAAAGGGGGATGTCATACAGATGCTACAGACAGGTAAAAAATAAAAGTAGCAGCAACGAGTAAAGCACAAAGGACATGGAGAGCACCAGAAGGTCACATAGAAAGTAAAACAGTGTGACACCTGTGAGGCTCAGAGAGAAGACTATATCCACACAGTGTGGAGTGAACGCAGGTGAAACCAGTGAGGGTGTGGCAGACAATCACACAGGAGGGAAACTAGACACAGGTGCAGACAATCAGCAAATCAGAGGTGGGAAGTAAAGCCACAGGAGACTGCCTGTCTCCTGTGGCTTTACTTCCCACCTTCCCAGTTGCAGTCTGGAAACTTTTCACGTTTCCAGACTGCAACTGATTGACTCGACCGACTCCTCCCATTGTGTCTTACTCCCAATAAAGATCTCAGGGGAGCAGAAGCAGCAGGCATTTATTAATATAAAAAATCCTTCACTCAAAACCTCATTTTAATTTGATAACAGCTGAATGTAACATGTGGAACAACTGCATCATAAACAGTTTTATTATAGCACAAACTCAGCTCTATTTCATCATCTCATGTGTAACAGAGCTCAGGCCATTTTCACAACTTGACAGTGTGAAAAATGATCATACTGGAGAGGAGAGATGCACAGGTGGGGGCGACATCCAGACTGAGAGAAATTTGCCCGAGTGTTTGGAATTTTTTGCTGAGGACTGTTACGCTGGTTTATATCAATCTGAACAGATTAATTGACGCTTATTTTGGATTGCAGACTTTGGACTTGGAAGCTGGAAAGTGGAGTCAGTGTGGGAGGGTTGGGCAGACTAACATGATAGGGAAGGAGGTGGATAGCTATAACAGCAGTTATGGAGATGAGCGATGAGGAGGTATATGGGAGTAATACAGAGGTAAATGAGCAGCAGGAGGTGGTGAGAGGAGGTGGATACTGGATGGCCAATGACAGAAAGAGAAACAAGGAGCAGGAGGCTAGGCTGGAAGGTAGAGACAGTAAGAGTTGGGAGGATGTGGTGAAGAAGCCACAGCTGGAATCCCTTCTTGTGTTGAGCTTCTAGGGTAATGGAGAAAAACAGGTGGAAAAGGCGACAAAGCTTGCGAGTGTAGG